AGAAGAAGAAGGGAAGAGACTTTAAGAATTGAGGGAGGAGTTTTAGATCTTGTATCGAGGTAGTTTCGAGAGGGAGAGATCTAGAGGAGTGTTCATTCTTTGATGTAAAAAGCATGTAATTCTTCTTTGCCTTAGTGTATTTGTTGGCGATTCCCTCCCATGGATGTAGGTCTATGGACCGAACCACGTAAATTGGTTGTGTTCTTGTGTTTGCGTTGAATCTTTATTTCCTGCAGCTTTTCTGTTTTCTGTTTCTCTTGCTTGGTTACTGTCTCCATCTCCTTTGGCATCCAAGAAACGCAGCAGAAAGGATGAGGTGTCCAGAAGTTCTGCAAGGGAACTTGGTATTCGGCTGCTACAGAATTCGGCCAGGAGAAAGGAGGACTTCGGCAATTCTAGACAGGGCTGACAAAGAAACCTGATTTGAATGATCCTGTATTAAGAGCTAAATTAGCTAAAGGGATGGGACATAATTATTATGGAGAACCTGCATGGCCCAATGATCTTTTATATATTTTTCCAGTAGTAATTCTAGGCACTATTGCATGTAATGTGGGCTTAGCAGTTCTAGAGCCGTCAATGATCGGTGAACCGGCGGATCCGTTTGCAACTCCGTTGGAAATATTACCCGAATGATACTTCTTTCCCGTATTTCAAATACTTCGCACAGTACCCAATAAGTTATTGGGTGTTCTTTTAATGGTTTCAGTACCACTAGGATTATTGACAGTACCTTTTTTGGGCTGCCAAGAACCGAAGTCCAGCTCCAGGGTGTTCGCATCTTGGAAGAGCAGTCCAGGAGGATAACTGCAGCTACAGGCGTTAGGCAGCAAGGTGATCCATTCGGTTACAGCAAAGAAGCAGGTGGTTCTTGGCTGTCCAAAACCTGCAGGAATTCAGCAGTTAAAATTCTTGTTGGCCTGCAGCAAGAAGTTCAGCAATCCTATCATTATTGGCCTCCAGCAAGGTGGTATTCAGCAATTACAGCAAGCTGAAGGTGTCTTGGACAATCCAGTCGCTGCAGCAAAAAGTTCTTTGGAATTTTGTAGGTGTTTAGCGGAGCGAATTTCACAACAATTGGCCCAATCTGTGGGAATTCCAGCCACGATAATGGCAACCGTCAAGTTCGACATCGAGAAATTCACCGGAAAGAACGACTTCGGTCTGAGGAGAGTGAAGATGAAAGCTCTGTTGGTGCAGCAAGGCGTTATAGAAACCTTGCAAAGCCCGACGGCATTGCCAGCCGACATGACCGAGAAAGAAAAGAACGGGATTCTGGACAGGGCTCATAGTTTGATAATCTTGAGTCTTGGCAATAAAGTTCTAAGGGAAGTTTCGAGGGAGACAAAGGCTCAAGCGCTCTGGGCCAAAATCGAACTACTCTACTTGACGAAATCTCTGACTAACAGGCTCTTCTTGAAGCAACGTCTATACTCCTTCAAGATGCACGAAGAAAAATCAGTTTCAGAGCAGATTGACGAGTTCAATAAGATCATAGATGATCTAGAAAGCATCGATGTCAAGATGGATGACGAGGACAAGGCACTGCTGTTGCTGAACTCCGTTCCTAAGAGCTACGAGCATTTCAAAGATGTGATGCTCTATGAAAGGGTGCAAACAATTTCTCTGGAAGAGGTTCAAGCGTTGATCAGAGCTAAAGAACTTCAAAGGAAACATGATATGGACAAGAAATTCAGTGGAGACAGTCTTACCGTTAGAGAAAGATCGGACAAGAAGGGTTCAAGAAACGGTTAGAGCAGATCAAGATCAAGAAAGGAGGGCGGAAATCAGTCATCAAAGGGATCTTTCAAGTGTTATCATTGTCACGAGGATGGTCACTTCAAGAGGAACTGTCCTGACAGGAAGAATAAATATCAAGAAAATCCTAAAGATCCTGGAGAAACAAGCATAGCCTTGGACGATTATGATTCAGTTGAAGCCCTAGTGATCACCGAATCAGAATCCAGCAAGGAGTGGATCCTCAACTCGGGGTGCTCTTTCCACATGTGTCATCACAATGACTGGTTCGAGACACTGCAACTATCAAATGATGGGTCCATACTACTTAGAGATAACAAGGATTGCAGAGTGGTCGGCAGTGGAACAATCAGAATAAAGATGTTCGATGGAGCCGAAAGAATATTGCAACATGTCAGGTACGTACCAGAGCTCAAAAGAAATCTGATTTCTTTAGGTATGTTGGAGACAAGCGGATACTCTTTTAAGGTGGAAAATGACCATATCAGAGTAACTAAAGGTTCTCGTATCGTCGTGAAAGGAGTAAGGAAAAAAGGGACAATATTCTCTACTCGAAAGAACTGTGATTGCTTAGTTCAGCAACTGTCTAGACTTAGCAGACTCAACTAAGGGCTAAGGGCCCCTCGAGGCAATGGAGGAAATCTCTATTATGAAGCATCGTAATTGAGAGTCAAGGAGGATTGTTATATATGACTCTCAATTGGTACTCTCAATTGGTTAACTTTAACTAAGACAATGACATACTTGTGATTTCCTTGTGAGCTTCTATGGTCTACTTTGGGGGGTCTCATCTATAAATAGATGAGGAAGGCTTGTAGGAAAGAAGGATGAGTCTACTACAAGGGAAGAAGACAGACTTATAGAGGGGAGAGGCCACTACAAGGAGGAAGAAAGAAAGAAGACCAAGAAGACCAAAAAGGGGAAGGATATCAGTCCAAGAAGAAGAAGAAGAAGAAAAAGAAGAAGAAGGGAAGAGGCTTCAAGAATTGAGGAAGGAGTTTTAAATCTTGTATCGAGGTAGTTTCGAGAGGGAGAGATCTAGAGGAGTGTTCATTCCTTGATGTAAAAAGTTTGTAATTCTTCTTTACCTTAGTGTATTTGTTGGCGATTCCCTCCTGTGGATGTAGGTCTATAGACCGAACCACGTAATTGTTTGCCTTCTTGTGTTCATTTTATTTCCTGCAGCTTTTCTTCCTGTTTTGCTTGTTGCGATTTGTTCTTCCCCTTATATTCGGCTGTCCAGTAAGATTCAAATGCCCAGCCTTCAGGTTTGTAGCTACAGCAGAAAGCAAGGTGTTCGGCAGTCCTAGTATTCAGCACTGTAGCTAGAGTTCGGCACAGGCATTTCTTGGCTACGAGAGAAGAGCGACATTTGGCTACAGGTGGGATTCAGCTATAAGGTGAAATTCGGCTGAACAAAAGCAAGCAGGAATTGGGCTACAGTATGCACAGCATTCTTTAGCCTACAGGTCCTTTCATACAAGAAGGGCAGTCCAAATTCTTGGGCTGAATATATTGTCCAGGTAAAGAGATATTCGGCTGACAGTTCTTTCATCTCTTCGGCACATAGGTGGTCTTGAGCCGGCAGGCTCTTCCATTCCTTCAGTTGTTCTGGCAGAGGGAGTTCGGTACAGCAAGAAGGAATTCGGTAGTCCCAGTTTTCTCAGCTACGAAATTTTTAGTTCTTGGGACCGTGGAAGAGGTGTTTACATCTTGCAGGAACAAGGAAGAAGGTGAACTGCAGCTTTTGAGCAAGAACTTTGTAGGTGTTTGGCAGAGCGAATTTCACAACAATTATAGTAGGTGATGATGTTGGTCAAAGAACAGCATTGGGTAACAATGAAGAAATCTTTAAAATTTAGTAAATAAGCATTGGGTAACAAAGGAGAAATCTTTAAAATTTAGAAACTATGGAAAATCTCTCCGCCAACTGTCCTTGAGATGTGAAAAAACATCTAATTACAAATTTTTGCATGAGGCTTTCTAATTATTGCTACCAAAAATCCTAACATTTTATTAGACAGGTCCAGGGAAAGTTATAATTGATAATTCTATATTTTTGGGCATCACAGTGCCTTAATAATATCAAAATTGGGTGATTTTACCTCTTTGAATTCTTTTCATTCAATTAAAAGTATGTGAAAGCTTATCGAATGTTTCCAATTATGTTCATTAGTGTTTGATTTAGGCCTTTTTAGATTAGAATCTAGGGTGGTATTATCAGGTTTATCTGTCTAATCATATTGCCTTGACTATGAGTTCACTAAACATAGAGTATGAATGATCCTGCAGTTAATTCTCAGAATTTATTTGCCAAATTTTTCTTTACAATCAGAAAAATTACAACAAAATTTGTGCTTAATCAATTACTTTCTTTTGGGTATATAACAAAGTTGATGGCAATCCTGTGCCTAGTTTCAACATACAAAATTCTCAACTGTTTTGAGTCATCCGATCAGTTTTGGATGGTTTGGATGCTTATTCCATAATGTTTTGAACCATTCTGATTCTGTAAAAAGCAATCCCATTCATCCAAGTTGGATTGGATGGTTTTGTTTCCCAACTGTTAAGCTGCTAATTGGAGAATCAGAATACTAAGACTACATATCTAAACATTTAAACGGTAGTATCACAAATGTACAGCCTGCATGCTCACCACAAAACCTTTCAAAACTTCATAATTACTTTGAGTCTCACAGCAAACACTTGCGGCCCAAATTATTCTGATAAAACTAACCTTCTACAGTTGAAATTGATAGGCAGGAACCTTTTCATCACAATAGTTGCTTGCACAATAATGACATCCAATACCCCACCTACTGAAAACAACATTAATAGCTTTCCACATTTGGAAGCGCATGTGCACTAAAAGGATGGCTTATGATGCTATAGATCGAATGAAACCTAAACTCATAGGATTATTCTTGAAGAGAAAACAGCCACACTTCATTTTTATAAATAATACAAAAATAGAGGGCAGTGCACACAATAACAGTCTTCAGTAAGTGTTGATGTATGATACGCAACTAAGGGAAACTCCAAAATAATTGGTATCTGGTGTCAATCCAATTGATGAATTCGATTAAATAGTCCCAATTAATTAATATTTTTTCTATTAAATTACAGACAAGTGCTGTGAAGGTGCTCGATGGCATACCAAATTAGATTCGTTGTCCTTGGATGTTGTTCTATAATGATATTTTGAAAATCCAAAGTAATAGGCGTGTAAGGAATATATCTACCTCAGACGTCCATCCTCATCAATTGGTGGAGGAGTGATAAGCACAATAACAGTGGTCGGCCAGCGCTCCTGTGCTCCAAGCAACAAGTAATAAAATTAGTATTCCTACACTGTTGCTTGATTCCAGCATTTATCATAACATATCAAAATCATCTTATCATCCGCCCTGAAACGAGTAAATCCAAATCTTCCCTTTGGAAGCTCGATTAATGCAAATTAATGTAAACAACACTATCATGAGCTCACTGCATCAATGGAACAGGAGCCAACGATAAAGTGTTCATAGAAAGATCAACGGAGAGCAAGAGCTATAATACCTTGAAGAAGGAAATAATAGATCTGAGATTACTTTGATACTCATCCAGAGGCACGTGCTGGAATCCGGAGCTCCGATCGGGGATTGAAGCATCGTTGGCGCCGAAGAACACCGTCAACGCAAGTGGCCGCTCTCCATCGGAGCACACGCCGTCAAACGCTCGCGCCGCCACCTTCAACGCCCACCTCGTGTTGTAACCGCTGTAGCCTCGCAACACCACATCCGCCTAATCCCAAATGAAATCCAAACCCGTTATTGGAGGGAGGGTGGCGTGGAAGAAACGAGAAGCAGAAGCTCACCGTGCGAGAGAAATGGTTTGCGAGGGCTGCTCCCCAACCTCCATTTGTGAAGGAATCTTCAGTGATGGAATCACCAAACAAGGCCACCTTCGGCCTCATGGTCAATCGATCGAGCTCTGTTACAGTTCTGCTTTGTGCCCTTTTAATGGGGCCACTTGTAAGAAGATAGTTGTACTTGCGGATCCTCCTGGTTTTTGTCCGCAAGAAATTCGCGGGGCAGCAGATCCGTTTGATATTTATCTCTTTTTTTATATGATTTCATTAATTGTACTGTTAGTAATATTCTGCCTTACGCTAATAGCCTGAGGACTGGTTTGAGCGAATATCACCATTTAAATAAGCTCATATAAAAATTATGTGATGATAGCTGAAATCAACATTATCATCTGAATAAAGTTTTTAAATAATTTTCTAAAAAATTTAATAAATAATTTTATAGAATATAAATGGTGTAGACGATGCGAACATTAAGCATAAGTAATTTCAGACATTTCACTTGTGAAATATTGGAACAAAATTCTAGTGATGCGGAATAGATATTGATATCTGCAATCGACGAAATGTCATTCGGTTGATATAACTTTCGGAGGTGTTGTACCAAACGAAGGTGAATCCACAAGTTAGCATTTTTTTTGCATTGGAACAAAGCTTCATCTCCTTCTCAAATGAGACCAAAGTCCAATGACGATGGTCATTAGCGGCCAGTTTGAGATGATTGATTGTTGCTAAAATATTTAATTAATATAAATTTATTTTGAGCAATTTTCAGAATAAGCCGTTAGTTTCTAAATAAATATAGAGAATTACCAAAAAAATATTATAAAATATATTTTTAAAAAATAAAAAATTTGATGCACAACTGCATTTTAATTATATTCAAAAAAAGCCAAGAAAATATTTATTATAATTTAAAATTATAATTTAATATTTTTTATTAAATTTCAAATATTTATGACTTCACGAATAAATTTGTTTTAAGTATTTATATGAAGTATAACATATATTGATATCATAAAAATTTTAAATATAATATTTTTTGGGAAATATGACTTTATTTGCCTCATAATGCCAAAAGTTAGCCAATTTTGTCCACTATTTATTTTCTTAAAGAAATATAACCAAAACTTCATTCAGGATAAAATAACTCACTTATTAGAAATAGTATTTAAAATCATCATACAAGCAATTACTCAAAGTTTAGAATCTCAAGATGCTCAATCTTTTCTCTTCCCAACACCATCTTTGTCCTCTGAAATCATCATTCTATGGCAAATTTTTCATCTTCGACTCTAGTTAGCTATTCAAGATTTGCAATATTATCTTAAGTTGTGTTGATAACAATAATATCTTTTATCTCTAAGTTATTCTTGAATCCTTTATATTGACAACAAGGCTTTCTGTTAATTTTTATTGGTCTTCTACTTTCTTTTTTAATGTTGTAAATCAAAGCATTGTTCATGATATTAATCCTGGCATGTGTTTCAACCATAAAAGTGTTGCCTTTGGGTCAACTTAGATTGCCTATCTCCTCTACTAAACTAAAATTTGCTTATTGTGCTATGATTTTCACCAAACTTCAAAAGTGTTTAGGAGGGTGGAAGCAAAGATTGCTATCTTTTGCTAGCTGGTTTTAGTAAGTTAGATCTAATGAATCGAATTATATTCATTTTTTGCTCAAATCCATTACTTCATAAAGGGCTATGAAAAAATATTTTCATATTTATATTCATGTTCTTCAAATAATGATGCTAATAATAAATTTCATATAAATGTTTAGTATGATATCACGTCGCCAAAGATAAGAGTAGGGCTTGGGCATTCCATCTTTGAATACTTTATATATGTTCGTATCAATTTTAAACTGATTTGAATAATGTTTAATCACCACTCATAACTTATATCATAGATTTTTTACTGTTATTCTTCCATTTTGACAAAGCTTATTTAAGAAGGCTACACCCTTTTGAAAATCACTTGTGAGTGCTTGTAAAATTTATAATTGAATTTCTTCAAAGTTTGCAATGCCAATAATTCAATATTGTTCTTAGATAAGTGGTTCAATAAAAAATTCACTATTAAATTTATTAGAAAATCTATCGGCTAAATTTTCAATTTAAACCCTTGTTATTAAAATTAAGTAAGTTGTTGTTAGTGTCTCTTTTGGCTGTCTTTATGGTCAACACGCTCATTTAAGTGCCTTACAACCTATGCATGCACTCGGAAGATTACTGCACCCAATGTTTTATTGTAAGGTTTGGTGTTGTGATGTTGACCTGGGCGTCGTGGCATTGCGGGCAAAGAGACAAGCCTTTAATAAAATGCACAGTGTTGTTATGGAACTACGACCTTAACGTCTGAGCTCTACGGTGCCCCATTATGGCTTTAAATCTAAATGTTGGCACTTTAACACCTAACCCAGTTAAAGAGGCTGCGACATGGTGCTACGCTCAATGCAAGGACACTCAATTAATAAAAGTAATGATGATCATTAGATGGTGGGTCTCGTAGGGATACGAAACTGTCATTCCTATATAAAGTGGTTAGATTTGAAGTTTTTCATGATTTTCAAATCCTCTTCTGCTCAGTACCTCCTTCCTCTTCTGATATTGCTTTGCCTCCGCTTAACAAGTACTACCTTGGAGATGCAATAAATTCCCAACACTGCCAGCACCTGGGGAGGAGGAGTATGATAGGTTCCAGTTAGCCAAAAATTGGTGGTCAAGTTGGTAGAATCACTCCTTCATTGAAAGATCATTCTAGAACATGAGTTTTCCAATGTTGTCAACACTATATAAATCACTATAACAAAGTTAGATTTGGGAGATTTCATTCAAGCTTTTGTCCCCATTGTCATTTTGATAATTCATGATTTGATGTCCAAAGATAAGGAACCCATGAAGAATATGATGTTCGACGGGGGGCATTGTACCATTTGATAGGAGTCGATCGATAGTGTATATGATTTGATCAGATACACTATCGATCAGTGCACTAAATTCCAATATTAGAACCTTAATTTTAATAAGGTTCTTAGTTACCTGACCTAGGACACGTCTAACACTAGATGGAGGGAGCAAGAGGAGAGTATTATAACTTCCTCAAAAGTACCATCAAGTAGGAGTTGAAAATCCTGCCATGCCTTTATTTTGGCCATGTTACTTTCAAGCTCGTACTTAAGCAAGGTTATAAAAGGGTCTTGATTCAAAACTATATGATACGGGGAGATCTTACGACCAATGTCGACCATATTATCCATGGGTTAATTGTCTATATGGCTTGTGACACTAAGATGATGGGCATCAACCACCCCTCCATGATACATATCTTCTTTGTTAGATCTTGGGTGGAGACTGATCATAAGAGGAGCGGGTATTCCCCATGTAGGCCATTATAGATGCCAACATATGGTTCTATAGAGGGCCCGATGGACTTTGTCTAGTCACCCCTCTAGTAGCCACTACCCCTCCTCATTTTTTCTCCATACAATTCAAAGTAATAGGGAATCTCTTAATCAATGGAACAACACCCTTGGTTGCTAGTTTACAAATATATAGCACCAACACTGGAGCTAATTTCTCTGGTAAGCTTAGGTATTCCGATAGTTCTTTCTTGATAGCCCTGTGGGTTGTGCGTCGCCTCCTTGGCATATTTTTCTTTGAGCTCGTACCTAGTTGGATGACAAATGATGATGTTGATGATGTTGATGATGCTTTTTCCAACCTTTATGCCTTTCTTACCCCCAAAAGAATGTTAATTTTCCTTCTTTTTTAGCTATGCATGTATTGTGAGCCCCAAGGGCATATTAAATATCAGTTATATTTGTACCTCCTATGAGGGTTTATTTATGTGGGATTTTTATACTTTACTTGTGGACCTTTCAACATTGTTTCTAACACGAACCACAAGATTTGGTTCTTTTTTTTTTTTTTGGAGAAAGGAGCTTTTCAGTGCAAATGGTGCTTGATGACCCACAATTGCTTCATGTGTGTCTTTGCATTGAGTTTTTTTAGTGGTGGTTTACTTTTGTCTATGCAGGGTGTATTAATTCGGCTCGGAAGGAGCTGTGGAATCTATTACTTTGCATTGGCTTGGGTTGAAGGAGAATTGAATTATTGGTAGAAATTTCAATATGGTTATTTGTAACTCAGAGAAATAGAGTGTTAAAGCAGTTGACCCCCAAACAAATTTCCAAGTTCAATGAGGCTTTGATCAAAGTTGGATTGTTTGATCTTGGTTACATTGGCTCAGTTTTACCTTTGAAGAGAGGTAGAGCTTTTGAAAGGATGGATAGAATTTTTGCTAACAAGGAATGGCTTTTTAATATTAAGTTCTCTACTATCCAACATCTTGTGGGAATTGGCTTTGATCACAAACCTCTTCTTCCCAATATCTCTTTTCTTGATAAGCCTAATTGCTCTCTTTTCAAATACTTAAATACTTGATCAAATCATCCCAATTTCTTGAATTGTGTGCTTAAAGGAGGGTACTCTTCGGAGGTTGGTATGCTTGGTTTAAATTTTGGAGGTTATATAAAAATATTTTGAAGATACTCAAGGAGTGGAATTGGGAAATTTTTGGTGAAATACATAACAAAGTTAGGAAAGCTGAGGTTGAAGTGTGTAGGTTAAAAGAACATTGATAATGAGGGCGGAGCTGGTTTTTGATGAGTTGACCTCGATCCAACACGAGCTGACTACTACCATTAAATGGGAAGAAGACTTCCTTAAAAAAAAGCTGGTGCGGCCCATCTCACCGATGGGGACAGAAATTCTCAATACTTTCATGCTTGCATTAAAAAAAAAGATTAAATGTCATCTACTTATTTGAGATGAGCAAGACAATTAGTTAACTGAATAGGAGGATATTATCAAAAGTATAGTTAGTTAATTTGGTAATTTTTTTAACCAAGTTGATAACCAGAATGTTCCTATAAATCTGGATTTTTAAGAAGCAGAGAAGGTACATTGAAAACCTTAGCTTGGCTGAGGTGCATGGGGAGGAGAAAATCTTAAATGCTTTAAGCTCAATTGATAATAATACAATTACAATGATAGATGGCTTCTCCGCTATTTTCTTCAAATAATGTTGGAATGTGGTGAAATTAGATGTATTGCAGCCATTTAGAGCTTTTTCAGGGGTGAGGACCCAGGTAACTATTTCACTACATTTACTATTATCCTTGCCCTAAACTTAAGGAGAAAATTATTTGGGATCATTTTAGGCTGACCTGCCTTACTATTGCCATATTTAAAATCATCAATAAAATTATTGTGGCAAGGCCTCAACCTCACCTTCTTGCTCTCATTACTCTAAATTAGGAAGCTTTCACTAAAGGTAGGAGCATTATTGATAATATTCTACTTGATCAGGAATTAATCACTGATATTGATAAGAACTATTGGGGCAGAAATCTAATCATTAAATTTGATTTAAAAAAGCTTATGATTCTATAAGTTGGTAATTTATTTTGAATGTATTGAAAGGCAGAGGTTTCCATGAGAAATTTTGCAATCTTAACAGTAGATAGTTGAGAGGCGATTTCTATAATGTTCTTATCAATGTTAAAGTTCATGGGTTTCTCATTTCTTACGGAGGCATCAAGCGAGGTGATCCACTTTACGCAAATATTTTTATTTTAGCCTTTGATTACTTTTTCTAGACTTGTTAATCAGTTTCATAAGACCCATCCCCACACACAATATAAACATAGATCCAAGGTGATGGTCAGCCACATAGCATATGCAGATGACACTATATTATTCACTAATGCATGTAAAGGTGCGGTGTGAAAAATTTACCATTTGCTGATGTAGTTTCAATAGGTATCAGGTACATTTTTTAATAACCACAAATGCCAACCTATCTTGTGAAAATATGCTAAGAACGACTTGGTTCAATGTTTGAATGATTTCATTATTTTCAATGTGGCTGATTACCTATTAAGTACATACAAGTTAATTTAATAAATGGGAGAAGGAAACAAAATCGATTTGATGATGTTATTGAAAAAAATCAAAAAGAGGATTTTTGATTGGATAAATACTTATTTATCCTTTGGGGGTCAAATCACATTGCTTAAGAGTATCCTAACTTCTATTCCACTTTAGGTTTTACAAGTTCTTAAAATGAAATCTACCACCCAACATGTGTTGGAAAGATATTTTAACAATTTTTTGTGGTCTTGAGTGTTGCAATCAATTTTTGATGTCACAAGTGTAGGGTGTCCAACCCGCATGGCTCAAGATGTTCTACGGTTTGTCTGTAGCAACTGGTAGTTTAAGACACCCACCCGAGACCTTCTGACACTTGTCCTGGGCAAATAGGTAGATTTGGTGGTGATTTAGCCACACCTGAGAAACTTTCCTTAGAGAGGACTATTATGGACATGAGACAGGTTTGGTGCCTAATTTTATGATTAAAAGTCATCACACGTCCCTCTGGAACCTCCCATAGTTATAGGGAGGCACAAAATCTACCTCTGTGCGCTACGAGAAAATTAGGGTTCGAGACACTCTAACTATGTCGTGGTTCAGAATGACCGTTGGTGCCAACTTCTCCTATAAATTACCAACCAAAATATTTCTTTTTGAATTTATGGGCCTATATTTCTTTTTGAATTTATGAAATTAGGGTTCGAGACACTCTAAATCACATGGAGTTTTTCATAACTTCTGGATCAAAAAAATATTTCATCGGGCATTTCCAGTAAAAATTAGGGTTATGGGCTAGACCGGTGCCCCGGAGTTGACCTCGGGGGCCACTCTCCTGAAACACCTTTGTGGATTATCTCTCATGAGCCACCAAAGGTCTATGACTTGATTTTGGCACTTGAGCATTTTTTCAAACTTCTAGGTGCCTACACTGGGCTAATAGGCGCCGAAATTAGGTCATTTTTCGGAGAGCTTGACACCTAGGTGCCGCCTATCTGGCGCCAAGACACACAAGAGGCAGTGCCTTGGCGCCCAGAAAGCGGCGCCTAGGCTCTAGTGTTGCGATTTTTGGCCATTTTTTGCGATTTTGATGCAATAAAATGTTATAGCATTAAGGGTGAATGGTTTCCCCTTTTGTCCTCATCTAGAAGGATCCAATGCCCCTTTTGGTGGACATTTTGTTCATTTTCCCCTATCAGGGACTCTGATATGCCTTAAAATTACTTATTTTTATATGTGTATAAAAATCATTCTCATTTTTAAGGATATTGCACTTTAATGAAAGATATTTTGTTCATTTTTTATTTCAGGTGTAAGTAATGTAGTTTAAGAGCAAAATAAGCAAAAATGAAGCAAAAATTATGGTGGAATAGACATATTACCAGTAGGAAATTGCAACCCAAATAAATGACAAGAGGATTTCGGGGAAATGCTGCATGGTTAAGCCTTCTTAACTTTAATATAGTTTTCAACTCTTCTTATGACTTGACATTCTACATGGGATTCATAGAAAAATATCAAGAAACCACTAACTAGTGTCACAGAAATATTATACTTTCATCTCTGAAAAACTTTACAAAACTCAGTCCAGTGTTTGCCTTTTAGGATTTTAGAACTTTTAACCTTTATGCATCTGATACTTTAAATTAGATTCAGAGGTTTAGTAAAGTAGAACATATCTTATTAGAATATTTTGACGACTTTCCTTGTGAGAATGATATGCAGAACTCATAATCCGTATATTACTTGATAAACGTGTGTACTTATGTGATTGACCGACCCACCTTACAACGATTTTGAGCATCAAAGCACATTTGGCTTAAAAGGCTAACCTATCAAATATGTTATCTTTGCTTGAAAAATAATTATAGGGGGTTTGAAAAATAAAGATGCTATAACCATGAGAGAAATCCCTTCCAATCAAACTGGTATAATTCGCTCCAACAATAATGAATCTCACTCTCATTTTTTTTTGTTGTTCTTTCTACCTTCATGTCCATAAATAGTTTATTTTGAATTTCAACTTTCATATGGGTTGTACTCTCATTCATTGAGGTATTGCAAAGAATGTTTTTCTTACATGCCACATAAATTATCACTTACTATCTTTGAGTTGAAAGAAACAATAGAATATTTGATAATGGTATTTTTATCGAAAGAATTTCACATTACTATTAAGCAAATAAGTGGAAGGTGGAATTACAATCATACATTAGCTTAGTTTATTATATATAATTTTATTTATTATGCAAATCCAACCATATGAAAGGGAAGATTTTCACCTTTCTTATTCATTTTTGATATGCGAGACATCTTTATATGCACTTTTGTCGCATTAATCCATTACTTGTTGGTTGCATTTTGATCAGCTTGACATTTTTTTGTAAAAATTATTGTTTTTTTTTTTCTGTGGTACCTGATTTTTATCTCTCATGATATGGAGGAATTTCATATATGCGATTGTTGTGCTTTTGTGGCTACGGTTTTCTACTATAATTAGCATCTTACCATCTACTACTATAGTTGTAGTTATTCTACAATTGCACCATAGTTGAAAAATTTTATATGTTGTTGTGGTGGTTGCATGGCCTTTGAGTACTTTATTACTCTTAATTTTCTTATAACTCACTATCGTACTTGTAACAAACATTCAACTATGTTACGAGTTTGACTTTGCTTATGAAACTTCTTGTTATAAAGTAATAATTATTAAGTCACACTCTTGCATAAAATGGGAGCCTTTTATGATATAAACTACTACATTGACACAATTGGTTGTTTGATTGGTAGACAATCTCTATGTACTTATAAAGTGCAACCTTAAAGGCTTGATTATTGAAAATTTGATGGGATTTTGAAAGATCAACAAGTAAACCCCAATTTCTCTATGCAATGGAGTTCCATTAGGCAATTCATTCTCACTTTGTTTACTATATCATCTATAAACTTATAAGTGCCTCTAGATGCAACTGCTTTATGATATGTTACTATTACAATTTTAAGATTTGTTATTTTTTTTTAAAAAAATTTTCCTACAGCAACCGTGGGCACTGCTACGTACGGTCGCCCAAGTAAAATCGTTCCCACACAAAACTGCATGACTGTGTGTCTAATTTTAAAAATTATAAATTTATTAAATTAAATATTAATTACGTGGCTTAAATTAATTGGAGGCCGTACTTAGAGCCCCCGTGTGGGAAAAAAAAGTTCTATTTTTTAGCTTTCTTCTCTTTTGTGTTGCATATCTTTAAATCAGACATTTTCACCTTTAATTTATTTTTTTCTGTTGAAGGATAATATAATTTTTTATTTTTCAGAATTTCTCTTCTTCTCTTGTCAAAATCAAATCTAAGAGAAAATCTAAGCCCGCAATAGGATGCTTGCAACTCCCCTTCGCCACAGGATCTTCACCCCCATCAAACATCCTTACCAGCCATCCACCACACCGCCGCTGCGCTACCACTGCTCCGCCCTTCACGAATGGCGAAATACCCCAATCAACGAAAACCGCAGCTGGGGTCCGGTCGGCCCTCAGCCGTCCGATCTGCGCCCAACGCCATCTTCCGGCGACGATTTCACCGTCTCATTCTCCTCCCTCGCTGATTACGCCGCCTTTATCCTCTCCACCCCCGATCCGCTCCTCAAGTCTCGTATTTCTCACCTGGCTTTCTCACGCTGGCGTAGCCACAGTCTTCCCGTCGGCTCGGTTTTACCGCCAGATCATCCCGCCCGTCCGGCGAGACCCGTTCAGGTAATGTTCTGTGTCTTCTTTGGTTTTGGGCATGTCGTCAAACAGTTAGTGAGCAAGCAGGTTTTTGGGATGCTGTGTTTTCTGTCATGATTTTTACTGAGATGAAACTTGAACTGCTGAAACTAATTTATTTTTGATACTGGAGCCAATCCAAAAGCAAATATTATTACTAGAACTAAATATGCAGTTACAATCAGCACACTTAAAAGGAAATACACCCAAAATTTTGAAATAACAATAAAAACAACAAAAACACATAACTAGAGTGGATCCCGGGTAGTAGTGGCAATTGATAGGGACTTGGAAAAACGGTAGCAAGGGGTTGGGAGGATTGGTCAGCGAAGAAACAATGACTAGGGGCGGTTTTGGATGGAAGGAATAGCGTCTGGGCTGCGGGCAGGTAGTTTCGGTGGTTGGACAGCAGTAAGACAGCGTGGGGAATGGCTGTGGGGGGTTGGACTCGCAGTGCAGCGGGAAAGTGCTGGAACAACAGTGAGGTTGCAGAGATGTGGTTGAGGTGGCTGGGATAGCAGTGGACAACAAGCTAAGGGGTTTACAGGGCTGAGACAGTGAGGCAGTAGGCTAGGAGAAGATGGGGGGATGGTTGCCCGTGGCTGGGACAACAATGGATGGCAAGGCTGGGAGAAGGTGGAGGGAAGTGGTGGGGGCTGAGATAGTAGCAGGGTGTCGAAGGAATGATTTTGTGTGGTTGGGAGTGAGCAGGTGGCTGTTGGGAGAGTAGGTACTGCAGGAAGATAGTCGAGAGGTGGCTGTTAGGGTGGCTGGAGTGAGGAGGAAGGTGTGGTAGCGAAGCGGGAGGGTTGTAGAGGAGTTGGAGCAGGATAACACCACCTCGGGAACAACATACAATCGGAGCATCACTCAACCCTTGGAAGAGAGTTACCGCCTTGAAACGAGATATAGCCAAAACACCACTCACGCTCAGATACATCCTTAGCAAAGAAAACCTGGAATCTGGCGGCTGTCCTGACATGAAATACTAAGAAAACTCTCATAAAACACAAAGATATTATAATTATAGACTTAGAATAAATATGAGTGGACCCCCTTCCCAATAGAAGGGAAATTCACATAAAAGAAGTGTCAATCGATCTTCTTGGGCCGGCCTAAGCCGCAATCTTCCGCGGTACTATAGCAGGGATTACATACAACTCCATGTGGGATGTCTTCTCGTGGTATTGTAGCTTGAAGCAGGCCACTATAGCAGAGCATGTGAAAGGCTTTGGGGTCGCTGTGGTAACTCTCGTGTTAATCTCGTGGGTTGGGAGAGCTTCAACCTCATCTATCTAAGTTCTATCTCATAGTAGTCAGATTAGCTCCGTTGAAAGTAGCGAAAATGTTGTAATCCCGCATTAAGTCAATTTTGTAAGCATTGTCATTTTAAAACACATCTTAATAGATCAAGTATCCGACCACATTTGATACAACCTGAGCTAGAGCTGCATAATAACGTAGATTTTCACAAGCAAATAGATTTATAATCTACTTCTCCCACTTATACTCAGCCGAATGTGTTTGATAATTAAGTCTGTTAGGAGGAATCAATTCCGGGATAATCTATGTCAAGTTGGGTCATACTGAAGGGTAACAACTCATGAGAGACATCTTCTTCTTCTTTGAAAGAACCCGAATCCTATTGTGGGATGTTTCTTCTTGCAAAGCTCCTATTGTGATTTCCAATACTGTGGTTCATCCATCCTTCTTGATCAGCTGTTGGTGGGTATAATGCTGAACTAAATATACTGTGGTTCATATTGTGGGATGTTTCTTCTTGCATAGCTCCTAATGTGATTTCCAATACTGTGGTTCATCCATCCTTCCTGATCAGCTGTTGGTGGGTATAATGCTGAACTAAATATAATACCCCAATGACTCTTGATGGGAAGTGACACAAAAGACTCATCTCAGACTCACTAGATCTCCCTTAAAAAGGGAAACTCAAAAGGTAGTTTGTATGTCTAAAAGGTTTGAATTTCTCTTATTTGGGGTTGTCCTGTGTCTGATATAGGCTCCTCCAACTTATGGCTTTTTTGGACATTAAATGTCGGTTTTGCTAATGCTCCTCTTATTATTTACAAAACGGTAGCTCGAGATACCACAATCTCATACTTTGCATAAACGCCTGTTACCTCAAGCTCACTGCCTTCTAGTACAAGTACTATCAACTTAGTTGGAGTCTCTCTTTGGAGTTCAACTTGAATCGTTGAGCTCTCGTCCTTGCTGACTGAAAGTTGAGAATCATCTTCGAAATCTTCATCTTCTCCTGGATCACTGTTTATTTCTTCAACTGCTTCCTGATCTGTGAGAGAAATCTTGGTTGTGCAATATGATTCAGGATGACCAAACCCATGACACTTGAAAGACTTCTTGATGGGGACGGATTTGGGAAATCTTGGTTCTCCACTCTAACCTAGTACCTCTTTAGGCGGGGTAAGCTTTGAAGTTCCCCCCGAGTATATTCTTTTTGTAAGATTCTTGGGTTGAACTCTGATTGTAAGATGTGGTGGTCATCAAATAATATTGTCTCTCCACTTTTGAAACTAGGGTCTGCACATCCAGTCCGTAATGAACTGGTAGGTATTGGAGCAACATCTCTCGTTTTATTTGGGACCAAGTAGTGTCTTATCTTTTTCCTCACGCTAGCGTAGGTGCTTCAAATTTTGCCGCCTAAACAATCGACTATTCTTTTACTTGCTGCTGCTAGTTTCATCATTATATCTGGTGGGATGTCCTGACACTCAAAGTAAAATTTCACAGTTTGAAGCCACTCAATGAACTAATTCAGATATATGTGAACTTCAAAGCATGGAAAATTCATCGTTGTCTCAAAATCCTGGTTTCTCAAATATTTCAATTCAATTTATTGGGGTAGAGACTCTTCATCTCTGAAATCCATTGCAGACATTTCACGTCAATATCCTCTAACAGACACTTCATCTCTGTATCCTCTTACATGCACTTTATTTATGTAATTAAATGGAGTTCGGGTGACTCTACGGGGTGGTTTCCTTTTCTTAATTTTATCAAGCCGTTGTAGCACTCGACGAAGTTGTCGCTGTATCTCTTCCATAGTAAACTTTTGATGGTGTCTGACACTTGCCTTGGCGGTGACGTGGTTACTTTTTGGGTAGAAGAAGGCGTATAGGATGGTTTGAGTGGTAAAGGAAGAGAAAATTTTTATGATACTGGAGTTAACCCAAACCACCATAGGAAAAATAAATACTATTATTGAAAACAAATATTTAGTTACAACCGGTACACTTGAAAGGGAAAATACAACAACACAACTCCTGAACATTTGAAATAGCAACAGACTTGACACGAACACTCAACAATGGTGGATCTCGGGTGGTGGCGGCGGCTCAGAGAGGCTTGGAAAAGTAGTAGCAAAGACGTGGGTGGATCGAGCATGTGGCTAAGATTGCATATTGTCTTTCAGTAAGGAGAGGGGTCAAGACTGCAGTGAACACCAAGGATAGGGGCCTAGGGGGGGGGGGGGGGGA